TATATCTGTGTATATCTATACATGTGATTTATATATAAGTGTAAGCTAACTCTATAGGCAACTTAAATTTAACTGTGCTGTCTTAAATATTTCTAAATTGTTATGTATCTTTAAATAATAGTAAACATGTAAGGTTATAAAAATCTATTTCAAATTAACAAAATATTCTTGCTACCTACTCCTTCCTGTAAGCTGTTTATAAAGGTTAAGCTTTTATTACAAAAGGATTTTTTTTCTCTTCTTCTTTGTCCTTTGCAGGTGTAAATCTAACCTAAGTTAAAACCAGTTACAGTCAGGCTGGAGGGCTCTGAGTAAAATATCCCTCCACAGCCTCTCAGCTTGGAGTTTTCCAGACAGATTCATTAGTTACAGGGATAAAGCCTTACCTAGCCACCTATGTACTTAAGACAAGTAACTAAAGACAAATTTTGTCTGCTGAGATACACTAAATAGACAGACAGCCCTCAAATGTTCAGAGATCTAGAGAATATGACATTTAAAATATTTTATTAAAAAGCTTTTATAACAGAGACAGGCCAGCTGCTGGCACCACCCATTTCCTCCAGGAAGACTGGTGGACACTGAAAAACTCCACCCACAAAAGTGGCAACGCTAGCCACTGGGCAATTCTGCCTTTCATCTCAACTGCTGCAAAGGACTCTAAGGACCATAGACAAGAGGGCAGTGGAATCAACTTTCTCCACGTTACTTGAGCCAATGGTAGGTAAGTCTTCCAAAAGCTTCAAATCCACAGGTCTCATGCCATCGGCAGAAGGCAGATGTCCTTAAAGCCTCTAACCTCAACAATTGTGGAGGACCTGGGGGTGCCTATCCATGCTGCCAGCTAGTAAGTCTCTGTTACTCTCCAATCATTAATTCAGGTAAAAATATTATCCTTCTTAAGAACTTCGATGCTTTTGAAGATTGTTAGGTAGCCTTGCTAGCTTAAAGCAGCAGCCAAAGCTCCAACTGTTACAAAATAGATTTCAGGAACTGGTGTTTTAAGGTTTATCTATGTGAAGATAGGAAAGTGTAAGGTGTATGAAGGTCTGAGAACAGGAAGGTATAACAAGTTGGAAAAGTGCAAGTTATGAAGGTCTGAGGATAAAAAGTCTTAAGTGATGACAAAAAGTGATTTGAGACATTCAAATGAATGAAACATGTTCTAGATTTTTCTCTCTCATTATGCTACTGTTCATAGTCTTAATATTAATCAATAAAGTTTTAATGAGCTACTAATCCAATTCTGATAGAGTACTAAACACCATACTATAACACTACACGATCATAAATTAAGATGCTTTTCATTGTACTAAAGAGATCTGTTAGTTTTAAGTGTTAATTCTTCCAGCCAAATCATTTCTAACATGAGTATGCTGCTAATGTGACTAATATTTATGTTTTCCCAAACTCAAAGGTTTATTGTAAGTTCCAGGGAACTGAACTGGACCTACACAAACAGGTCAGATTCACTCTAGATAAATATTACTCAACCTCTTCCTGGTCCTGGGACTTCCTTCCCTTATCTTGGAAACCCCTCGGGAGCACCTACCCCATCTTACAATTTTCCCCTTAAGTATCAGGACATAAGGAAAAAACTTTTTTCTAAATTTAACCTTGTCCTCTGCTCTGCCTACATCTTGCCAGGTCTCAAAGAGATGCCAGAGCTCCATACAGCCTAGACCGCAATGAAGCAACCAACTACCAGGACATGACAGCACCCCAGCTTTCTCAGGTCCCCCAAAGATGACCAATGGCCCCGAAGTCAGCAAGAAACAGTCTCGAGAACTCTACCACGTCCTTATTTCCTGAACTGCCACACCTAACTCCCCACCTTTTTAATAATAAGTGGTGGGAATTTTGGAAACTGGCATTCTGCTGACCCTGCCCCTTAACTATGGGTGGGATACAAATGGCCATGTCATCACTACATCACTCATTATGGGGCTGCATAGGGACTTAGTTACGCATGCCTGAGTTTCTCCTTAAAAGCACATGCCCCTCTGTCTTTCTCACTCTCTCACTCATCCTCTCTCTGTGTCACTCCCCCACCCCCTACTGCTTTAGGTTGGCAACCAGCTGTCCCCTTTCTCTTCCTTCAACCAATAAACTCCACGTAAGCGCGTTGAGTCTCGTGTTCATTTCATCAGCTACAACTTCAGCAAAAGAAAAAGTAGTACTGCACAGGTTGTGGCAAGCAGACTATGCTGCCTCCTTTGTAGAAGGGAATTAAGGTTACTAATAGATTTGAAATGAGGATCCTGGGTTATCTGAGTATGTTCTAGCTTCAAAAAATGCTGGTAAAAGGCAGCAGAAGAGTTGGTGTGGAAGACACTTGACAGACAACGAACAGCCATGTGGGAAGGAAAAGGTCACAAGCTAAGGAACACGGGCAGCCTCCAGAAGCTGTGTAACACTTCCACCAGAGCACCCCAAAAGGAGCTTAGTCTTGGTGACACCTTGACCTAGCCCAGAGGGATTAGCACAAGTCATGGCCCAAAACTGTCAGGCAGTGAAACCACATGAAGCCACTATGCTTGTAATTTGTTACAGTAGCAAGAAGAAGCAGGGGCTGGGGATTTGGAAGCCGCCCTCATTTTTCATTTCCTGAAACAGTTTGTTTTCATCATATGTCCATAGTAGAAGTAGATGCCATCCCACGGAGACTGCATTTCACAGGCCAGCCTGTCAGTAGCAAGCAAGGGAAAGAGCTCCAGTTCATGCTTTTGCCCAGGTTGACACCATGGATAAGATTTCCTGTGGTGCATGGACCTAATGTGAAGCTAAGATGAGGTTGAGATAGAAGCACTTGGAATTTTCTGGGCCAAGGTTGGAAGCTGATACCAACATGGGCAATCTTGAGACAGGAGAATGACTTACAAAACATTATTTATGAATTTTCCAGTTATTGTTTTTATAGAATTAGCATTCCAGTCAAAGTAGCATAGCAGATAACTTTAGTGAAAACAATTTTGTGAAATTAAGGCCACTTGCGGGTATTTGAACACAAAGAGAAAGAAAGGAAGAAAGTGAAAGAAAGAAAAAATAACTACAGAGCTGCCTGTTGGCAGATTTTGTGGAAGCGTTTTCTAATTGAGAGTTCCTGTTCCCTAATGACTCTAGCTTGCGTCAAGCTGACATAAAACTAGTCAGCACCATGGTAGAATGTGGGTACCAAGGACTCATCTCTTCCACAAAATTGAACTAGTGGAACAGCTGCATTCATAGGTTAGTGGCAGTTGAATTCAGCAACATAGACATGTAGACTTAGTGAGATCCAAAGTTCTGGGACACAACCCAGCAAGAGAGAGTGCTCCAGGACTTGTCATTTGGTACCCAGGTTAGGAAGGGGAAATCTCTCCCAATTGGCAAAAGTAAAAGTCTAAGAGAACAGGGTCTCAGCCAGCTCTGCTAGTGCTATAGCTGACATCGCATAGTCATACAACTTAAATAGATAAGAGACTTGGGGACACACAGGTGGTGACCTTTAGAGAAAGAATATGGTACATTTCCCAGAGAAATTTATGAGAATTGATGTTAGGAACCATCTTGAGAAGGGTACTATTACCTGTACTGCTCAGAGGGTCGAGACCTCTGCATATTCCCATCTCTAGAACACTATAGCATGGCATCAGTGGTTGACTGACTGCCTCTTGAGACAGTCTTGGCTCTAGGAAATGGCACTAGTACAAACTGGCTGAGAATTCTGTGCTGTAGGGGAATGTGAGCTGTGATGTACAAGGCAGTGGAACCATTCAATTAGGGAACCTGCCTTCTGAGTCTAGGGACATAACTAATGGTTTCCAGTGTGTACCAGTGTGCGGAAAACCAGGATCAATAATGGCAAATCCTAAGCTTCAAATGGCCCAAGTCCCAACACAGCAGGTACAATTCCATGTCCCATGAAAGCCACAAAAGTATCTGGAGGCACTCTGCAACTATGGTTTGTACTCTGTTCTTGGTTTGTACAGCCTAACAATCTTTTGAGAGAATCTCTGCCTTGTACAACTCAGCTGAAGAGTCTTAGCTAACTCTCACCACCCTCCTTTCTCCTGGATACTTGGCAGGTTCTGAAAGAGAAAGAATATGAATCGTCATGGCAAACCCTAAAAAGATCCACAAGGAAGCAGTGCTCCACATACACCAGGGTCATCTGCCTTCCTTTGCTTATCTAGTCACCTTGGCTAGGAAGAATAGTTTTTCTTTTTTAAAAATATTTTTTCTCTATTGTTTTTTTGGTGTATTTTTAATACTTTTCTGACATTCTCCTGGCTATTGAAGATATTTTTGTATTTAAATCTTCTCTGAGGTGCTATGGATCAAGCCTAGGGCTTTCTGTGCATTGGCTAGGCTCTCTGCTAATGAGGACACTACTAGTTGAGTTGAGAGTAATTATAGCAAACTCTATTCGCAGTCCATTCCTGTTCAAATACTGGTTGATACTTCTTAAAGGACAGGAAGACAAAAATCTCTGAGTCATGGATCCTTCCACAGGAAGGGTCAACTATAAGGAACTCAGATACAACTCCAGAGCAAGTATCAATATAAAGCACAAGTCTTTGTTTGTTTTGCTCAGTGATGCCCTAAATTCTTTTTTCCAAATGTTTTTATTAGCATATGCTAATTATGTGTAATAATGATGAACTATGGGATACTTTACAATCTTTCTTTCATTTTACAAAAAAGGAGTTCTCAATGTAGTCCTAGCTCTTTGGAACTCACTCTCTAGGCCAGGCTAACCACAAACTCACAGAGATCTGCCTGCTTCTGCCTACAGAGTGCTGTGATTCAAGGCTCCATTCCGCAATTTTTAAAACAAAAAATCCTAATATTTAGTCTTCAAAGAAACCTCTTTTTTCCCCAAAATAACCATGATTAGCTTAGACAAAGAGTATATATTTTCAAAGTATTTTCCTTTAACAGAAATTTAGCTGTATAGTATCTAAACACTGAAGATTTTTTTTACAAGTCACAATCTGGTATAAGTCAAGGAAATCCATTCATACTTCATGCCCTTCTCCTCCAGTAGTCAGCATTGCTGTATTACTTCCATTTAGTAAAATTTGATCTAATGTAATAGTCCTCCTTCCCGTCAACTCTGTCACAACTACTAGCACCATATTTACGAGGTCATTAAATCCTTGAAGTGTACCAACAATGTCTTTGTCACTCTTCATTGCAGTGTAAATTCTTTTATCTATCTATCTATCTATCTATCTATCTATTTATTTATTTTGAATTTTTGAGACATAGTTCCTCTCTGTAAATCTGGCTATCTGGAAATCACTCTGTAGACTAGCCTGGCCTCCAACTCACAAAGATCTACCTGACTCTGTCTGCCACATGCTGGGATTAAAGGAGTGCACCACCACTGCCCAGCCCAGTGTGAATTCTTGATCCAATGCACTTGTCCATAAGCTCTAATTGCAGGAGTTGTGTCAAGTTAGTGGTTGAGTTAGCCACCATGACTATTCCAGAAGCTGACTTCACAGGGCCCATGTCATTATTCTCTGTATTATTCCAATTTTAGTATATGTGTTGCCAAAGCGAGCACAAATTGCACAACACTTTTGTTTATTTGAGACAGGTTCTCATTATGTAGCTAGGATTGTCTTTGAACTTGCAGAGATCTGCCGGTCTCTGCTTCTTCAGTGCTGGGATTAAAGATGTATGCAGCCACAAATGGTTTAAATTACACAACTTTTGATTGCAGTATATTTGTGTGGGCCTTTTCATTGACTGCCTGCATCCCATAAAACTTTTGTTGATAAGAGTAGATGTGAGTGGGATTCAGATTCCAGACTCACAACTTTTTACAATTAAAAAGAATTGAGTAGAAAGTCTCAGAAACCAAACTTTAGTCAGAATTTGAAGACAGGCCTTTTGATACAGTACAGTTATATAAAAACATGGGGAAAATAACAAAGGAATATTCTACAAGCTCTATAGAACACCATTAAAAAATAAAATAAACAAAACGAGCATCTAACATAGTCAACATGCCAAAAGGAGAGGACAGAACACCCATTCAACAAATAATAGCAGAAAAATTACAAATCTTGGAAGAAACTTGGACAAAGAGGTACTGAAGGCCTTTAGAACCCAAGTCATATGTCCAAGAAATGTGCCAAGTCATGATTAAAGGTAAACCTATTAAGCCAAGAGAAGATTCCTCAGAAAAACCCTAATTTTGGGCTAGAGATGCAGTTCAGTTGTGTATCCAACCAGAAGTTCATGAGCCACATGCAGCTGCATATAGCCAGAATAGTTCAAGATTTGGCTCAACACAAACTTATAAACTTAAACTATCAGCACTTTTTTTATCCCTGATTGTACAGTTCTTGACCATGAATGTTGTAGGTCACAGCATTGCATTACAACATAAGACTGGGCACATCTAAAGGAGGTAAAACATAATAACCTCCTAAATATATTAACTATAAGATATTAGTCTCACTTGTAAAGACACATGTAAACTAAAAGTGAAAAATCTCAAAATCATTTTCTAAGCAAAAGGAACCTGAAAAGAATAATATTACCTATACTTGTATCCAATAAAATACATATTGACATGTATAAGATACACAAGGTCCAGGGGTAAAATTCTGAGGGATATATTGGGAAGGTGGAATGACTTACAGAGTAAAGACAGATCAAGTGCGAACCTGACAACCTGAGTTTGATTCCAGGAACCCTTATAGAAGGTTGAAAGAGAAGTGACTCTACATAGCTATCCTCAGACCTTCATATATGCACTGAGGCATGTGTGCTTGTGTGTGTGTACATGTACTCACATACAAAACTACACACAATAACTACAATCTATATGCACTGAGTACAATATACCCAGTTTTATAAGTCAAATATGACTAGAGCTAAAGAGAGAGATGAGGCTCAATACAGTAACAGTGGGTGCTTCCATTACCCCACAATCACCAAGAGACAGACCATATAAAGAAAACTTCAGAGTCCACCCTACTTTGGAGACTTCTCAGAGCAACTCTGAACAAAGGAGACCTGCCTATCCACGCGGGACCACCCGTAATTTCCACCTGCTTGGTTTCTGATCCCACCTCCAGTTCTCTGCTGGAATCTCGGGCCCCTCCCAGAGATCCGCCTATCTCTGCGGGTCCACTCTGAGTTCCTGCAGGCAAGATCCTTGACCCCCAAATCCAGGCCTCTGCTAAAGAAAGAGGCCTTAGCTGTAGAGATCCAGTTTCCAGTGAGATACGACTATCCTGCAAAACCTTCCCAAGTTGCAGCTCAGCCTTTGTCTTCTTCCGCCAGCTATTGGCCAGAGCTATTGGCCAGAGGTGAGTCTGGGCCCAATTGGGGCTGCCTATCCCTTTCAACCTCTCCCCCCCAACCCTAACTCCCTGGGTTGGTCCCTGATCCTGCTGTTCCTGTCTCCTGTCCCCATCGAGAGCACCCTTGGAGCTCTGATACACCCCCACCCATACCCAACGCGAGCCTACCCCCCTACCCTGTGCCCTACCCTACCCACGGTCCTGCTGCTCTGGTTGAGCACTGGGACAGAGGGGGAAGCCAACAGTCCACCCTACTTCGGAGACTTCTCAGAGCAACTCTGAACAAAGGAGACCTGACTATCCACGCGGGACCACCCGTAATTTCCACATGCTTGGTCTCTGACCCCACCTCCAGTCCTCTGCTGGAGTCCTGGGCCCCTCCCAGAGATCTGCCTATCTCTGCGGGATCACTGTGAGTTCCTGTTGGCATCTTCTACTGGATCCTCATCCTTGACCCCATCCCTGGGTCCCTGTCTGCGGAGAGACCTCCTAGAGAGCTTGGATCATACAGAGCTACAGATATTGAATCTCAGACCCACATAAGCCCACCGGAGAAGTACCATAGAGAGAGGGGGAGACCTCACCAACACCTACTGGAAGAAGCTATGGGAAGAAGGCAATACAAGAAAACACCTAACAACAGAAAGACAAGCATGACACCACCAGAATCTAGGGAATCTACACCAACTAGAACAGAACACAACAACAAAGCAGAGGAAGCAGAAGGGAACGACTTAAAAATTACCATTATAAAAATGATAGAGGCCCTCAAAGAAGATGTGAGAAAATCCCTTAAAGAAATGGAGGAAAAACAAAAAAAAAAAAAAAAAGTGGAAGAAATGAACAAATTCCTTAAGGAAAGTACAGAAAGCCAATAAAAAAAAATTAAGCAGGCGAAGGAAACAGTTCAAGACTTGAAAACTGAAATAGAGAAAATAAAGGCAACACAAACCGAAGGAATGCTGGAAATAGAAAAACTGGGCAAAAAATCGGCAACTATAGACACAAGCATAACCAACAGAATTCAAGAGATGGAAGAGAGAATCTCAGGCGCAGAAGATAAACTAGAAGAAATAGATTCATCGACCAAAGAAAATCATAAATCCAACAAATCCTTAACACAAAACATCCAGGAAATGTGGGATACCATGAAAAGGCCAAACCTAAGAATAATAGGCATAGAGGAAGGTGAGGAAGCCCAGCTCAAAGGGGCCAAAAACATATTCAACAAAATCATCGAGGAAAACTTTCCAAATCTGAAGAAGGACATGCCCATGAAAGTACAAGAAGCATACCAAACCCCAAATAGGCTGGACCAAAGAAAAAAGACCCCTTGACATATAATAATCAAAACACCTAGCATACAGACTAAAGAAAGAATATTAAGAGCAGCGAAGGAAAAAGGACAGGTAATATATAAAGGCAGACCTATCAAAATTACACCTGACTTCTCCATGGAAACCCTCAAGGCCAGAAGGTCCTGGATAGATGTTCTAAAAGTATTAAGAGAGCACGGATGCCAGCCTAGGCTACTATATCCAGCAAAACTCTCAATCACTATAGATGGAGAAAACAAGATATTTAATGATAAAACCAGATTTTCCCAACACGTATCTGCAAATCCAGCCCTACAAAACGTATTGGAAGGAAATCTCCAATCCAAGGAAGGTAAGTACGCCCACAAAAATGTAGGCAACAGATAATCCAACTACACCAGAAACCAAGGGTAAAGCAGAACTAATATATTCACAATACCACCGCCAACAACAAACCTAAATCAAACAAGCATCAACAATCAATGGTCCTTACAAACCCTCAACATTAATGGTCTTAACTTACCTATAAAAAGACACAGGCTAACAGAATGGATAGAAAGACAGAATCCATCCTTCTGCGGCATACAAGAAACACATCTAAGCTTCAAATATAGTCATTACCTCAGGGTAAAGGGTTGGGAAAAGATTTTCCAATCAAATGGAAATAAGAAGCAAGCAGGTGTGGCTATCCTAATATCTAACAAGTTATACTTCAAACCAAAATTAGTCAAAAGAGATGAAGACGGTCATTTCATATTCATTGTAGGAGAAATCCATCAACACAAAGTCTCAGTTCTGAACGTCTATGCCCCTAACACAAAGTCACCCACATTCGTAAAAGAAACACTACTAAAACTCAAAGCTCATATAAAACCTCACACACTTATAGTGGGAGACTTCAATACACCACTCTCAACAGTGGACAGGACCACACATCAGAAACTCAACAAAGAAACAAAAGAATTAACAGAAGTTATGTCTCAACTGGGGTTAACAGACATCTATAGAACATTCCATCCAAAGACAAAAGAATATACCTTCTTCTCTGAGCCACATGGAACCTTCTCTAAAATCGACCACATACTAGGTGGCATAACAAACCTCAACAGACACAAGACAATAGGAATAGTCCCCTGTAGCTTATCAGACCACCATGCTTTAAAATTGGAATTCAACAAAAACACAAATAGCAGAAAACCTGCAAACTCATGGAAACTGAACATTGTACAATTACACCACTCCTGTGTCAAAGAAGAAATAAAGAAAGAAATTAAGGACTTTCTAATATTCAATGAGAATGAGGACACAACATACCCGAACTTATGGGACACCTTGAAAGCAGTGCTATGAGGGAAGTTCATTGCACTAAGTGCCCATATGAAGAAAACAGAGGATAGTCACATAAGAGAATTAACAGCACAACTGAAAGCCTTAGAACAGAGTGAAGCGAATTCACCCCGTAGGAGTAGACGCCAGGAAATAATCAACTTGAGGGCTGAAATCAACAAAGTAGAAACTAGGAAAACAATACAAAAAATCAAAGCAACGAAGAGTTGGTTTTTTGAGAAAATCAACAAGATAGATAAACCTTTATCCAAATTAACGAAAAAGCACAGAGAGAACATGCAAATTAACAAAATCAGAAACGAAAAGGGGAACATAACAACAGACACAGAGGAAATCCAGACAATTTTCAGGTCATACTTTGAAAATCTCTTTTTATGAGGCCACAATAACCTTGGTACCCAAGCCTCACAAAGACACAACTAAGAAAGAAAACTCCAAACCAATATCCCTGATGAACATCGATGCAAAAATACTTAATAAAATACTGGCAAACCGA